ATATATATATATATAGGAGGACGCATCCTTGATTCTCCCAAAAAGTTTTGAATGTACACTTCATGGGCATGTCTGAGCTGCTCATGGAGAAGGCAGAAGTAATACCATCGCCTAATGACAGACAGGCACGGATTCAACAGGAATGTTGATCGACGTGAGATTGCAGATGACAGATGTCGTGGTTCCAAAGTGAGGGCGGGACGATGGGATGGTTTTAGAGAAGGTGTCCAGTTTAAGATGCACTTTGCCATAAATCATCTGGGAGACAACTGGAACAAATTGTATCGTTGATCCCAAGTGCAGCTACCGTTTCTCCAAGATGGTCCCTCAACCTTCGAAGCGACATTTGATTTGGATTGTGCCGCTTGAGCATTCCGTGCATCCGTGCATCGTCAATCATACAACGCTAAAAGCATAACAATACATGTATATTGCCCCTTCACTTTTCTTTGCGCCTAAAACAGTCCTCTCCGACGGCTTGCGTTATTACTACTCATCACTTCTGCACCCCTACCTTTCTTTGGGGGCTCTGGCATCTTGAGCCGAGTCCAAGGAAGACTGTCAGGCGGTCAACAAAAGGTGCAGCTTCCGAGCTGTGGGTCTCAACGGGAGGTCCACCAGCAAGGGGGCGGGCGGCAGGTAGAGCGTTGGTGCACTCGGACGAGAGTGATGGGAGATCAGGAGAGCACAGGGGGTACGTTTTGGAGGTCTCGTCAGGGGTGGGGGGAGGAGAGGAGGAACGGTGACAGATCCAGGAGGGACATGGCTTTCAGGCCTTATATAGATAGATGGCACGCTCCACCTCTCCCTTCTCGTGGAAAGTCAAGCTCTGTCTGGCCGACAGTGAGCATCCCTGTCCTCTCAACCCATCTGCTGCCATGCCAGCATTTTGGACTGAAGGGAGCAAGGTGCTGCAAAAACAATGCGGAGGAGCCATTTCCTCTCATTTATACTAGCGCTCAAAAGTTCGGACGCACTCTTTCATGCTATTGAAAGAGAAACCGGTCTTAGCAACAGACTTGATATGCTTTAATACGAGTTACTCTCAAAAAGGATCTAAGCAAGACGTCTCCTGCTCAGCTTTCTCACCAAAAATATGTAACTCGACACTTGGGTCGATTTTTCTTCACATGCACCCCAAGCGGTCCTTTTGAGTGTATTGTCAAGGATTCCTTTCAGTGGTGGCTTTCAAGATTATTTATAGCCAAAGGATGGTTGGTGTATGCGAGACGGACTGAAAATAAACTACAGTGCCCAGGCTGACCCGCCCCCGCAGCACAAGACCAGGGGCCTATTTGCGGCAATTGTAATTATTTCTGCAGATTATATGCTTAAATGTTGAGATGGGCAGACCATCTGCGTGGAGGGCCGTGTCTGAGAGGCGGAGAAACCTGAAGGTGTCGCCGTTATCGCTTTCTGATAAATGCCGTCTCACGGCCCGCTGCTCGCATGCTCCAACGCAGTCGGCAAAACATTTGCGATAAAGGCAACAAGATGGGGAATTATGTAATCGAATGAAATTTTTCAAACAAGACGACACTCAAGGGGTGCGAAATGAAATAGACGTCAATGAGAAGCTGCCACACAATATGAAAAAGAAATGATGACTTTTCCACATAAACAAACGGGAGCCATTCAAAATCTCAAAGATAATATGTACTTATTTAGTTGACGGTATGTGCCCTTTCTTGGTCACACTCAGGACCCCCGCTGGCCCATTTATAACTGGGGCTCCTGCGTGAAATGCTGGGCTTAGGGGGGCGGGTATCATGTGGGCAAGGGGCCGCAAAGAGCTCCAAACCATTTGGTATTGTCGGCAATGCACCGGAGAGTTGGCATCACAGGAGCGATTTAGCCATGAGGTCACAAGCACACCAAAGGAGGGCGGGGTGAGGTGGGGAGAGGGTGAGGGGGGTCTTAAGTGCCGGTCAGATGGACTCTAGTGACACCTTTTGGTTCAAGCAGCAAAATGTTCTTTTTATTGGAGATGACGCATACAATGTCGACTTGATATTTAACGGCGCCGTTGGTCAATTCCAGGCACAGACAATCGAAGATGTCTGCTCCAGTGAACGTTCAGCCCCGGTTTGCGCTACAGATCTTCACGGTGACGCTTGTGCAGCAGCATCAGGGTGTGCTCGCTGAACTGGTATGTGAGCTTCTTTTTCACCTTGACAATCTCGCCCGAGCGGGCGTAGTTCCGCAGGGCACGCGACATCTTCTGGTACGTCATGGGTCGTTTGTTGCCTTTCCTTTGGCCCCACAGCGCTGCCAGCTCGTCCTTGTTGCGGGCGGAAAAGCGGAAGACGCCCGAGGACGACGGCACCCAGGAGACGCAGTGGGCCATCGTGGGGTCCTCAAGCATCTCGAAGAGGAAGTGAAAAAGGCGAAGCTTCCTACCTGCAAGACGCAATATTTGGTCAGTGTCTTTTTTATTTTAACGCAATATGACTTCTATAGGAGCTTAACGTTCAGGAGTCCACTAAGGCCGCCAAATTGCTTCGAGTCATACATGGAGCACATGGTGACGTGTGTGTCTTTTCTTGTGTGGCAGAAACGAGAAAAAAGGAAACACGAGAAGATTTTGAGCGAGGAGCTCTACCCCGCTGTCATCAACCTCAACCAGTTCTTGCCGCAGCAGCACGGCATTGAGTACATCGCATGGGACATGGCGCGCTACACCAAGAGGTTGCAAGCAGCACCACCACACTCGTTTGAATTTTGCAAATTTCTTTGATTGTTCGGTTTTAGGACGCAATATTTGGTCAGTGTCTTTTTTATTTTTTATTTTTTTACATTTTTATCTCGTAAAAGCTCACAAATGTCATAGAAGTCGATTTCCTCAAGTATATATCATCAGTAGTATATTTGTTCAGGTTATTCTCAGGGCCTTGTTATTCAAATAAAAGTTTGTTTTGACAAGCAAAATGTTGGGACAAATGTTAACAATTCCAAAGATCTGCTTTGAAGTGCTTTTTGAAGCTTTAGATTGCAAATTAGATCCGGATGCTAAGTTGTGACAATTTTGAGTTGTCAGCATTGTATGTATGCGCAGCAGTGTAATTTGATGACTCGCCATTAAAACACAAATAACTTTGCTCCTCCAAGTCAAAGCTGAACCAGAAGCTTTAAATTCTGCCACCGAACCCAGTTGCACTAGGCAACAGGAAAATTGGGCCGCTAAGTCTTCACATGAGTAGGCCCACAAAAAAGTCTCAAGAACCAATGTTGAAAAAGACGGCGAGTGGGTCTGCCATTTGGTGACGTGGCCATTTGAGGGTAATTTGAAACTGCCGTTAAAAGACAAAGCCTTTTCTTTGCAATTTGTTAAGTTGTTATCTGAACCAGTTTTTTTTTGTGGGTTTTTAGCTGAGGTTTTCCAGACTGTAACACTTGCCAATGCAAATTTGCTGGAGGCTGGTACATTTAGTCACCAAAATTGGAAGGCATCAGGTTTCAACGACAATATATTCCTGACAGTGTAACAATCAACATCTGCGCCCACGCCGCTTAGTGTTAATAATTTCCTCCAAAGCAGCAATTCCCAGAAAATAACGTGCCTGATAGCGAGCGAGACGATCGCTGCAAACACTGCGGTTATCTCATAAATATGTAAAATAGATGCATGCATTGTTTATGATCTCTTTGCTCTGAGGCGGCAAGCTCCCGTGGCAACAACCGTAAGAGGTAAGAGGATAAAAGCAGAACTCACCGCTGCCCGCTACCGAGGCCTGTTGTTTGCTTAATTGTCTCGTGGTCACGGAGGCGGCTGAGGGCTCGCATGGCACCGCCTCGGGGCCACCTGGGATGCTCTAGCTCACAGGCAAAACCACAGTGTCGGAGTTGAAGATAAGCTCATGTTTTGACATATCGTCCACAGTAGGACTGGGCAATTAATCGATTTGATTGATGGAGCTTTTTTTTGGGGGGGGGTCACATTTTTATTTAAAAATAACATTTTGTTTTAATTAAAATGATGCTCTATTTATTTATTTTTTAGCGACAGCAGTGTTTTAGCAAACAATAGCAAATACTGCGCACCGTATTAGGAAAAAGAAAATACAGCAAAATGTCTTCAATGACTACAATGATAATAATTTTAGAACAACGTCAATGCTCACCGGTGGCTCACAAGGCCCCCAGCATTGCTCCCAAGTGTCGTTGTCCACACTGGTTGCATCTTCCTGCACACCTGCACAAATGCACCATCACATACATGTGCAACATATTGTGTTACCCCCCCCCCCCAAAAAAAACAAAACAAACAACAACAACATAACGAACCGTTGTTTTCCCTATTTTCTCTGTGGTACTCCTCGAGGAATTCTAAAATCACCTCCAAGTCAGACTGAGCCTCCTGGTACGAATTCTGAAGGAGAGTTGAACGTCAATATTTGATATTCTGCGAGAGAGAGATTGCTCGTTGCTCATTACCATTGCTGCTCGTCCAGTTGGCCCGATTATCGACTAAAAAGTATGTCAGGCTGCTGTTCTTATACCTCCCCTAAGGGGAGTGAGGGTTCGTGAGCCCGGCGGTGACAATGGACTCCGTGCCGCAACAACGCCAGCAGCAGTAGCAGCCATCAACAAAAGCCCCCCAGAGCTGACCACATCCTCCCCTCTGGGCCAGATAAGGCCGCGTCTGTAGCCCGCCGCCACTCTCAGGAAAAACACACTTGCGGCCATATTTTTCCTCACAGGATGTGTCGTGAAAGTCACAACGGCCGTGTTTAAATAATGTTCTTGAAAGGGAGTTGCTTTTCCTTGTCGTTGAATGACTTTGCCATTTCGGAGGCCTTTCCATTCTCAAAAGATTGGTCCGGATTTCGGGAAGGTCCAAAACCAGTTTCACTTGGAAACATGAAATTCGCTCGGTGTGTCGATCATAAATTGACCTCAGAAAAGGCGCATGAAATCTGCCATTTGGGTTAAAGTGCCAATTTTAAGATCATTCATTGCACTCCTCCTTTTTAAATATGGATACAAAGAGATGTTGTCCAATTGCTACCAGATTTGGAGCCCAACTCCACAAAGTGTGAAAAGTCAGCTCCCAAAGCCATTTTCGGTTCTCAACATGAAAATTCAGTCGAGGTGTCGATCATGAGGCGAGACACAAAAATTCTTAAGAATCCACACCTTTAAAAGTCACGTGAGGTCAGGAACATTTTCTTTGAGCAAACTGGTTCGTCGAGTCAGTCAGGAACGCAGCAGTTGTATAAATCACAAATTCATTTATTGTGCGGCCATTCTTCACAACTCATATTTTGCATAGAATGGAGAGCCAAAACTTGACTCTGGCGCGAGCTTCAGATATGCGGCGGCTTGAGCCACACGAAAAGAAGAGCCATGGTCGCCGATTGTCCTTTCAGCCATTTATTGAATGGGACAAATTACAAAATGAAAACACTTGCAGGCAGCATGGACAAGTTGCTAACTTTGAACTCGAAACGTGGTAAAAAGACAACTCTCTCGTCCGCGTCCTTTATAGCAGGGCCCCATTCCGATGATGATATGTCGTGAAATAAA